CTTGACAGAAATGACAAAACATTGAATCAGATGGCAAAAGAGTTTGATGTATTCATTTATAAATTGTATATCTCTGTATTGCATGAGATGTGGTTTTTAACGCTATTAGACACCCAGCTGCAAAGTGGGGGATCGTGCACACTGACTGTCACAGCCTTCTATTTATTTTGGCCTACAATGGACTAACTCAGGGATATTTAGGAGTTGATTATATGGAATGAACAAGGAACCTATATATATGACCAATATATATGAGCAATCCTACCATCTATATTCTGACTAGTTGGTTGACTACATCAAGCTTCTCCCAGCTTGCTTTCTTGACAGTCCAATGCTGGCCATGATCTCCTTTTCAACCCATAAACACTGCCCACACCCCAGATACAATCTGATAGTTTGTAAGCATCTGGATTAGACTAGAATTGAGCAGGGTGATGTCACTCTGGAGTCACACTGGCACTATAATGAAACAGCTGTAACACTTTAAACTTGTTATTTAATTTCTCTCAGGCTGCATTTCCTAATTTGTACAGAGAAGCCAATGGGATGAGTAAAAACCAATAAAGATATCCCAACAGCTAAAAGTAACATATCACAAATATGATATTTGGGGTTGTCCAGATGTTTGAGTTATAGTCTTAAAAATGTAAGATTTTAAAAAGAAGCAGCCGTGCAATTAAAGTAAGATACACTTTGTGGTTTCTTTGAGCTCATAACTCTTTAGATTATCAAATATGTACTGGCACAATAATTAAGCCTAGTAGATACTTATTTTTTTGATAATTAAATGAGTAAATAATTAAGGAATGAATTCTACTGTTGTTTGAAGGAATGTTGTTTCATATCTCTCCTCTAGGTGGCAAACTATTACCTCCTACAGTGTGTTGCATTTCCTTGTCTCAACAATTGACATGAAACTTGTACTTAAAAAAATACGTAATTTTATGTCTGTCCTCGTGTAGAAGTACATAATCATAAATCTATTTCCTTCTAAAGCTATCTCTTTGTACATCTTTAAGCTTCTTTTCCTAAAAAAATTGTTTATAGAAAATCATTCAGAAATATGATTGTGTAAGTACTATAAAGAAATTGAGTTGTGCAAGAGACTTTTCAAAGCACTTGTACAAGATTGTTTTGGGTACTTCCAATTTTCATGGAGTACTCATGCTTAGGAAAACATTGTTTTGTCCAAAGTTCATTATTATTTTTCTAGGGAATGCTTTTTCCCCTAAATAAGAAAAAATTAATAAAAGTAATTCTACTAAAAATGACTTTTTTAAAACTAAGCTCCAAATATATATTTTTTCTTCTAGATTCATTGTGACAGGAACAGATAAAATTAAGAGCTGAATACAGTATCCTGTAAATTGAATACAGAACAATTAGATAAGTTCATGCAAATACTTTGCTTTAATTTTTCTTAAGTCCAGGATATGAGTTCCCTGAATGATTTAAATACTGTCCCCCAAATTCCACTCCCCTTTATAATGACATAGTCTATATTTTCTTACACAAGAAATACAACTGGAAAATATGTCGGAGTGCCAGGAAATCTAAAAGGCAAAGCTAAAACTCACCTGAGAGCACAGCAAACAGGAACAGCAGGAACTGAAGCTGCCTGTCTGTTTCAAGTATAAGGGGGGGGATAAGTAAAAAGAACAATGACATGTTACAGCCCAAGAGCTAAAATTAAATGCATGTAAACAATTCCTGTTGAAACTAGAAGCCAATGTAGATTAGGCAAACCAGGTGAAGAGTTCTTTCCTGCCAAAACATGCCAGGATAAGAGTCACCAAGCATTGAGACATGGCTAGTACAGAAGTGAGGTTAATTCTGGAAAGCCACAGAGGATTCTGAACTATATGTGGCAGCTCTTAAATTCTACATTAAAGTGTAGTTTGTACCTAAAAGCCATATTTCTTCTTTATCCCACCCAAAAACCTGAAAGCCAGTTGTTCAGATATGGAAATCTGAATGAGAATTTCTAGCTGAGTATAATCATTTCTCTGGGGCTTCCCTGATGACTCAAGTGGTAAAGAATCTTCCTGCAATGCAGGAGACCGGGGTTCAATTCCTGGATTTGGAAGATCCCCTGAAGAAGGAAAATGGCAACCCACTCCAGTAGTCTTGCCTGGGAGATCTCATGAACATAGAGGCCTGGCAGACTACAGTCCATAGGGTCGCAAGAGTCAGACATGACTTAGCGACTAAACCACCAAAAGTATTTCTCTAACACACATTTCTTGAGTAACCACTCTGGGCCGGGCCCTATGGTCAAAACTTTCAACACTACAAAGATGATAAGGTATGATCCCTACCCTTAGAGGAATGAAGAAGACAGGGACATGTACACAAATAGTTTTATGAGCTCTATCAAAAGAAAGGGACAGCAGTAGGCACTAAGGCCAAATCAGTATGTTGATGTGAAAATGTGGAAGAGTCACCTTTAAATTCCATCCCACAGATGAGTTAGTGGCAAGTTGCCTGACCAGAGTCCAACCATAATATTAGGTTTTGCTGGAGTTCAAATTAAACCTATACTGCTGGGTCTCTGATACAGCTAAATCGTGGAATAGACCTGGAAATAGATATATATAAAACATCTTTCCAAAAGCAATTTGGGCTTTTTTCATAAGATCATTCTCAAAGGCATGCAAGAAACCAGGAGCTATGGAAGAAAACACCACCATGAAATTAGCATACAATTTCTAACTGTGCGTGAGCCCACAAGTGTAAACCTTTCTGAGTTAAATAGGAAACAAGCTAAGAACCCATTAATAGGGGATGTAAATAAATTATAGAATATCTCATACAGTGATGTTAAAAGAATGAGGTAGCTTAGCATACAGACGTCCCTGTGTATAGAAGTGAAAGAAAACAATCAGGAGGAAACAGTCGAAGCTAAAACTTTCTTTGTTATTTGATTCAACTTAAACACTTTTTCTAAAGATTAAGCAAAAGCACAAATTAAGCAAAAGGCACAAATATGTAAATAAAATATGAAATATTATGCATTCTTTACTTATCACTATTATGATTTACCTCCAAAATTACAATGATTTAGAATGAATTTTTAATAAAGAAATGTTTTGAGTGTTTGGATTATTTTACCTACCAAAAATAATTTTGTTTTAAGGCACAGTGTGTGAAAACTTTTAGTATTATCCTTAAGTATTACTAGGTTGTTTTAGACACTTTCTCTGGAGTCACTTTTGCAAGCTTTATCTCTATTAATGTTTAAAGCCTTCAATCTAATTAACCTGTGTACACTATAATTTTAATTCAAAAATAAAAGTGAACTTTGACCCAACTTCAGATGCTAAGTGTATATCTAGCCTCCATACCAGCCTACAGCATACTTGTTATCATTTGTCTTTACTCTTCATTACAAGAAAGGTGAATGAAAAAGAGAGAATGGGAGAAAGGTCAAGAAAAAAAGAGAAAAGAACTGATTATCCTTTCAATAATGGAAATTGAAAGTCATCTGTTAAATGTAGCCCCTCCGTTCACGGTGAGTCAAAATCCCAGGCTCCATTCTATGGCTTCTGCCTTACTGTACAATTTTCTCCTTTGACAAAAAATTCTCTTTGAGTATTGTGATGACTCAAGACCCTCAGTTGTGATCACCACCTTTTCTCCTTCTAGGGAAATTCACGAAGATAAAAAGCTAGAGTCTCACTTTTATGAGCCAAATTCACCTCTAGAAATGAGGCTGCACGCCACAGAAAGAAAGCCAGTAAGGCATATGCACAGGATGTGGGATCCAGCCCAGGAGCTCAAATCAGCCAATGACGTTCCACGGAGAAGACAAAGGCAAATGCACAGAGCAGCAGCCACTTGGGTAGCGTCCACGTTACAGAAGTGGAACAGGCATATCCACCCTCCCTTGGTGCCACAGCCCAAGCCAGACACACCCAGACTCTCCCACTCACAGCCAGCAGGGCTGGGCCGAGTTCAGTCACTAGAAGCCTGCGGCATGAGGAGAGGTGAGAGCTATGTTTGGTGCCAATGGACATATACGTGGTTACCCAACAAGGAAAAAAAGGGGAACGGCACACCTACACCCATTCCTATACAATTGTTTTCAGAGATCTTGAGGTAGAGAAACTAGAACCAAGAGAGAATGGTATTAGCTCAGTAAGTATGAAATAAGTACCAACACTTTCTTAAGCAACATTCCAATTCCAGTAGAAGAATTTTCAATGGTAAACAAGCAAAACACAGTTCCACCTGCCTCAACAGCATTTATTGGTTTGCTGTAAATACATTAGTTAGACTGCTGAAACAAGTGGAAAAAAAAAAAAAAACCTAAGAGAAATTAAAATAATAATACTGTGATGATGATAATAATTATAGTTGCCATTTATTAAGCAGTTATTAGGTGCCAGTTTGCTGTATTTAGCTACGTGGCTTAATCTTCATAATAGTCTGTGAAGTAGGTTTTATTTTTCCAATTTTACAGATAAGAAAGCTACATCAAATCTAAATTAAATATCTTTCCCAAGAATACTAGTCAGAGTGAAAGAACCATACTCAGATTCCCCCTGAACTGTCTCCACTATACCAGGAGTCAACAACCTGTGACCATTGTGTCCAATCTGTCCTGCTGTCTGTTTTTGTAGATAAAACTATACTGAAATGCAGACATTCTCATTCATTTCTGTATTATCTATGGTTGCTTTGGTGCTGTAACAGCAGAATTGAGTATCTGGCCCACAAAAGGTAAAGAGTTTACTACCTGGCCTTTTAGAGAATAATTTGGCCAACTTCTGCAATGCAGTATGCCATTAAGTATTTTTAAAAGGTTGAGTATAATAAATACTTCTAGAGAATTATGAAATTCTAAGAAATGGGAGTACACTGCAATCAATTTAGGGCATTCTGCCTGTGCATTGATCTTTCTTCTACTCCTTAAAAACTCAGTTGGGGAAAGCATATTTGTGTTTCCAAAATTTAGAACCTGAATTTTATCAAGGAATTCTTTCACATCCTTCCCAGACCTGTTTTCAGCTCCTTCACACTTCAGTTTCTCACAGGACATCTTACCAAACTGGGCACCTAAGAAAGAAAGAGAGGGAGAAACACAATGAAAAACTAGTGCTATAGTTTCAGGGAACGTCCATCCATTCTCAGACACTGACCCCCTGCCATGGGGGACCTCCAAAGGAACAGCATGCCACATTACAGGGTTCACTTGCCTTAGGCTTAGCTTGGTGCACCTGAGTAGATGAATTTATAGGCTAGAAGAATAGTGTTTTAATATGGAAGGCATATTAGCTAATAATTAATTGAGATGATAGTGTTCATCAATTTGAAAAAAAAAAAAAAAGAACAAAAATTCAGCAAACCTGGGTGACTTGTCTGAGATTTAAAAGGTTGCAACAGAGAAAAGGCTTCTTTTACTCCATCATTCTTGCCCAGAGAATCCCACGGACAGAGGAGCTTGGCAGGCTATATTCCATAGGATTGCAGAGTCAGACATGACTGAAGTGATTTAGCACGCACATCCAATCTACCACGCATTCAATAGGGTATGGTGTAAGGCCACAGCCATAGACTATATATTTTTTTTCACTAATATATTCACTAATTTCATGTCCTTTATCAAGGCCACAACTCTGATGGAAAGAGCACCTTTGAGGAATCAGGCAGACTTAGATCCAAACCCTGACTTGGTCACTCATTTCTTGTGTAAACTTGGGAAAATCAGTAAACCACTTTAAACCTCAGTTTTATATAAATAAACATGGTAAACTGTTCTCTGACTTTAAAGGAGATAAACTGAGACAGCACATTCAATGTCTAACAGTGTATCTGGCACATAGTAAGAACTTTATCAGTATATGGCAAACACTAGTATTGTTCTTACAAGATGAGTAAAACTGCATCACCTCGGTCTCTTTTTGGAACAGGGTCCATAGCTATTAGCATTTGGACCAGGTAGCATCTCACTGTTCAAGTATAGATGATAACCTGCTAGTTGCCTATGGTCGAGTTGAAGAATTCACCTGAGAAAGCTAACTTTTAGCTTTCTAATCAAGTCTGGTACCAGTGCATATAATTGTTATTATATGTTATAATTTATGGACAACCTTGTTTTTAATTACAAGGTTTTTATTAGAGAAACAGGTTTCGGGATGAGTCTGCCATCTGACTTGCCAGCACTTGTTGGAAGTTTTTATGTGATTCATTTACATGTGTGTGTGTGTGTTTAGGAGTAGTGCTATTATTAAATTTTGCTGACATACAGTGAGGAATCTGTGATTCAAATTTGTCTGTATATACACCTTCCCCACCACACACAACACCCCTCCCCCATTTTTATAAAGGACTAGTTTCAGATTATTTTCAAGGATGTACACAGATAGAATCATTTGGAATGGTCCTTGCCTAATTCTCTCTAGCTACTTGTGCATGTGAGATAGAAGTAAACATTGCTTAAAAGTAAAAATCTTTCAAAATAGAAAAAGGAGAAGGGGACTTCCCTGGTGGTTCAGTGGTTAAGACTTCACTCTTTCACTGCAGAGGGCATGGGTTTGATCCCTCATGGGGGAACTAAGAACCCACACGTGCACAGTAGGGCCAAGAAAAAAAAAAGTGAAAATCTTTTAGGTAATGTGGTGAATAGAAAATCCAAGGGGACTCTTTATGATGTAAAGCAGGCATGTCATTTCCTCATTCTCAATGTTGTTAATTTTGTAGAAAGGATACCTACAGAAAAAACCATGTTCACATCAAAGTCAGCAAATGATACTGATAGATCAGTGCTATAAATCTCACACAGAGGAAAAGGGAAAAGATGATTATACAAAATCCACGAGGAATAAAGATACTCTCACAAATAGAAAACGGAAAACAAAAGGGAATGGACAGTAATGAAGCAACTCCATGATGATTAAATAATAGCAAGAGTTGAAACTTTGTCAAGTATTTCCCACATATGCACACGAAACCTGCATATGAAGCCCAGCGCAAGGCATTGTAGAAAGATTACATGATAAGGTTTTACAGAAGGAAGTTCTCTTTAGTGTTACTTTTCTCTTTAAGCTTCCAACTGCTCTATTAATTAAAAACATAGGAAAGAGTAGAAGAAAGGAAGAGGAGGGAAAGAGAGAGGGAAAGGAGGAAAGAATGGGAGAATAAAAGAGATAGAAAAGGTGTCCAGTGTTAGGTATCACAATCCATTAGAACTGCAAACACTTGGGGCCCACACACAACCATTTCACTTGATCCCACCTCATTGAGTCACTTCTTAGAAGGACCCCTATGGACTCACGTTACATGTTGATGAATAGTAAATTAAATCACCCCTTCCCCAAAATGAATGGCTTAAAATGCCTGTGGGCCAGGATTCTGAGGATGGTGTGACAGGTCCTCCTCTTCACAGTTTCTCACCAGGCTGCAGTCAAAGTGTCCCGCAGGGCTGGGGTCTCATCTGAAGGCTCACCTAGGGAAGGCGCTGCTTCCAAGTTAATACACCTGATTGTTGGCACGATTAATTTCCTTGAGAGAGGGTGAACAAAGGGCTTCAGTTCCCTGCCAGCTTTAGCTGGAGACTGCCCTCAGGTTCTCTCTCCTATAGCAACTTCTCTTCATCAGAGTCAGCAGGAGAGAGTCTTCTAGCAAGATAGAAGTGACAGTCCTTTGCAAACTTTTGTATTCAGGGATACGATACCTTCTCTAAATTGCCACATTCTATTGGTTCAAAGTAAGTTATTCAAGTGGAGGGGATTACACAACCATGACTCCTAGGAGGCTGAGCTAATCTGGAACTATCTGAGATGCTGCCGACCATCACTTGGCAGTCTATTCTCAGTATTTCTGTTTGCTAATTATTTTCTGTCTGGTTGCTACTCAAATTACCACCAAATTCCAAAATAGTCATATCTAAATGAAACAAACTTTACTTTTAGTTCTAAGTTGTGTTCCTTAGAAGCATTCATAGTACAGTAGAAGCATTGGGTTGATATGGAGAAAGCATGAGTACCAGGCCCATTTCTGGAAATTTACTGGCTGTAAAATTTTATCCATGAACCTGATTTTCTCATCTTAGAAATGGGAATAATTATGCCTTCTCTTTTTGCCTCATATAATTGTTACAAGGACTAAGAAAGATCACATGTGGCAATATTTTCCAAACTACAGTAACATAGCACTGGAGGTGCTTGAGATGATTTTCAGTGGCCCATGGATGATAGGAGGAACTTTTCTCAAGTATATGTTTTTAGAGTGTATTATAAAAATATAATGTGCATAGCAAACCCATGAATTTATAGCTAATGTTGCTTAAATGAGATTTAAATGAAGTTGAGGAAAGTGTGAGTCAAACTGAAGAAAACTATTAAGAAAAGAATATACTAGATGGTAAGAATAGGACAAACATTGTGAAAGTGGTATACAAACGATTGTATAAAATTTAGAATGCTCAGTAAATATATTGAATCTTATTCATTAACTTTTGCCCCATGACTCTGGTTGAAGAAGGTAACTAGATATATACTTATTACTAGCAGAGCAAACCTAACTACACCTGGTAAAAGAGATGACTCCTTGAAAATCCAGTCCTAAATTGTTTGCCCACAAATAATCCATCTATTAATATTTTATTAATAAAACATTATTCATTCTCTGTGCCTTTTTTCTCATCCTAGGATGTATTAATAATAACTTCCACTTATTAGGAGCTCACTATGTTAAAATGTGCATATACAATTTCAACTAATATTTATCCTTGAGGAAAGATGTGTTAATATTATCATTCAGTTGAATGAGAAAACAGAACATTAAAGAGGTTAAATAACTTGGCCAAAGTAAATCAGCAAAATAAGACAAGTAGAATTTATTTTTTTTAATTGGAGGCTAATTACTTTATAATATTGTAGTGGTTTTGCCATACATTGACAAGTAGGATTTAAACTCAGGTCTATCTAACTTTAAACCCTGTTTTAAGTCTACTTCTGCCAGTGATGTTTTAGACGACTGGACCTCCACTTCGTATGCCCACACCTCATCTTTTTTGACTTCTTACACTTTTACTTTTTAGCATTCTAATGTTCTTTCTCTGGAATGTGGGAAAATATATCAACACCAGGGGATTCAAAACAAGGTCAGAGAATGAGTCTTTTTTTTTTTTTTTTCCAAATCCCCAGACAGGACATACACATTAAGCAGAATAAAAGAAGCAATTGCTTCCTGGCCCAAACTCTTTCGCCCCACTTACTCCGAAGGGAAGAGGAGCAAACAGAAAAGCAGTTTAGGCACTTCTTAGGGCTCCTTCCAGGCAGGGATGTTACCATTCACCACTTCCTCTGCATGTACGTCCAACCAAGAACAACTCTACAAACAGAGAAGAAGCACATTACTCATGGGCTCCAAATACCTTGTGGGTTGTGTAACTGCAAAGAAATCTCTCCTCAAGAGCAGACAGCATCTGAGTTTTGCTTTTTCAGTATGACATGTAAGTTTTGACTGACATCTGATTTTCTAAGTGATAAGGGTAACTAAAATGTTTTTAATTCTCTTTCCAAGAAGAACTTTGAGCTTTATGTCTTTAGATCAAGAAAAATAGACTTGCAAAATCTACTTAGAAAATATTACTAAAGTTATAGCCCATGAACCACTGGGAATTAGAATTCAGGAGATTGTACAAAATGGAATGGTCCTATGAGGAAGATACTACTTTTCTATATTATTCATTCCCCATTTTGTAACAGGAAGCAAGTTTTTGCTCATTTGAATCATGGAGCATTAATACCACAAGATTCAGACCCTAGTAACTACAAAAAAGATAAAATTAACTTGTAAATATACAAAGTCAGAATACATGAAAATGGAAAATTATTTTTAAAATTCTGAAAGCAAGCCATTGTGATATTCTCTAAGAATGTTCAGACTAAACTTAGAAGAAATGTCTTCCCATTAGTCTTCTCTTCCAACATAGCCCTGAAGATGACCCCAAACAGCAGTACAGGTGTTACTCATGGGCACATGTCACCCTGACTAGCGCAGAGTCTTGTGGGTTGGGTCAGAGACCAGAGGGGAGGTGCCATCAGAGCGTGGCCACCTACATTCTCTCTTCTCTGGATCCTTTAAAGAGTCCTGGCCAGTATTCCTGGAGAATATCCAACAATCTGAATTGGTTAGACCATCACCTCTATGACTGGATTCATATCAAAGGTTCCATCAGGAACCCCACGTAGATGAACCTCAAATCATACTCACAAAGTATACATCAAAATCAGTAACACTGTTTTATAAGCATGTCTAATACTTCACTGTTAAATTTCAAGGGCTAATTGAAGATTAGGTGCCAAATTTTAAAATCCTAATATTGCCTTTATATTGATTATATTTCTGATAACTCTTTGAATTTGTTTTGAAACTTTCATTTCAACACTGCCTTGGTTATAACCACATCAAACACAATTTGAGACTAGAGTGTCAAAAATAAAATCCTAAAACTGCCATCATAACGATACTGAATTTTGGCTTATGATACTTTTATAAAACTTTCATTTCAACTATGCCTTGGTGTATAACCACATCTAGTTCTTCAACTCTGAATTAGGGGTACTCATTTAGTGTGGGAATAGCAAAATTAGTAACCCAAACCTGACTTGCCTTATTCTGGTGTCTAGGTCTGTTTCTTGACACTTTCACTTTAAATCTACCAACCTTTCTTTAAGATGAAAATAATTCTGCATTGTTTATGATTATTGAGGAAATGGTCCTATTATTGGTTGATTCATGTAGCAAAAATTTTTTTAGAAGTCTTTATATGATGGGGTATTGATTTATCATAAGCTAAATCTTGTGTTGGAGAAGGAAATGGCAACCCAGTCCAGTATTCTTGCCTAGAGAATCCAATGGACAAAGGAGCCTGGCGGGCTACAGTCCACGGGGTTGCAAGAGAGTCAGATACAACTGAGCCACGGAACAACAAACCTTGTATGTTTGAGGGTGTAGTATAAAATATGAAATATATTCAATTTTAAAATAACTTCTTTTACGTGTTATTTCTATAATATGATTAACTTTACAACAAAAACTGCTACTCTTCCTAGAATATAAAACCCATAAGGATGGGAATCTTTTACTATTTTGTCACCAATACATCTAGAAAACTTAAAAGAGTGCCTGTCACATATCAGACACTCATTAAATATTTGTTGAGTGACTATTAGAGGAACTGAATAATCAAAACAGACACACAAAGAAATGAGCAACCATGAAGAAAAGTATTCCTCATTCAGAAAGGGCCTTACTTTTAGATAATTTTCTAATGCTATTGTCTTCCTTGCTATTTTTTTCACTTAGTAAGAATGCATGTATAAAGAGAAACTTCAGAAGAAACTCTTATCAGGGATATTATGTGGTAAATGCCTTCTCCTGGCATTGTTTCTGAGTGTTTTTTATGTCATTCTCTGATTTGTTTCAATGGATTATTTCAAGGTTGAATTCAATAGATTATTCCAATTTGAATTACAGGCATACCTTGTTTCACTGCACTTCATTTAATTGTGCTTCACAGATCTTGTGCTTTTTACAGACTGAAGAGTTTTGGCAACCCTGCAAATCTACACTATTTTTCCAACAGCATTTATTCCTTTCATGTCTGTGTGTCATGTTTTGATCATTCTCATGATATTTCAAACTTTGGGGTTATTATTATATTTGTTATGATGATATGTGATCAGTGATCTCTGATATTACTGTTGTAATTTTTTGAGGCCACCACGAACTGTAATAACATAAAGATGGCAGACTTAATGGATGTGTATCTGTATTATGACTTCTCCTCTGACCTGCCTTACCCTGTCATTCTCCCTCTCCTCAGGCCTTCCTATTCACTGAGATAAGACAAATTAAAACTAGGCCAATTAATAACCTTACAATAGCCTCTGAGCATTCAAGTGGAAGGAAGAGTTGCAGGTCTCTCACTTTAAATCAAAGCCAGAAACGATTAAGCTTAGCGAGGAAGGTACATTGAAAGCCTGGATAGGTCAAAAGTTAGGCCTTCCCCACCAAAAGAAAAAAAATGAAATCGTTCAGTCATGTCCGACTCTTTGCAACCCTATGGACTGCAGCCCACCAGGCTCCTCTGTCCATAGGATTCTCCAGGCAAGAATACTGGATGGGTAGCCATTCCCTTCTCCAGGAGATCTTCCCAACACAGGAATCAAACCTGGGTCTCCCACATTGCAGGCAGATTCTTTACCATCTGAGCCACCAGGGAAGCCTTGTGCAACAAACAGTTAATTTTTGGATGAAAAGGGAAAGTTCTTGAAATTAAAATTGCTACTCCACTGAACACATGAGTGATAAGAAAGTAAAAGAGGCTCATTGCTCATATGGAAAGTTTCAGCGGTCTGAATGTAAGATCAAACCAGGTACAGCATTCCCTTAAGACGCCTAACCAAAAGAAAGCCCTAACTGTCTGCAATTTTGTGGCTGAGAGAGGTGAGGAAAAAACCTTGAAGGTAGCAGAAGTTGGCTCATGAGGTTTACGTCTCCGTAAAGTGCAAGGTGAAGCATCAAGTATTGATGTGGGAGCTACAGCAAGATATCCAGAGATCTGGCTAAGATAATTAACAAAGGTGACTCTATTAAATGCAGATTTTCATTTATACATAAAGCCTTGTATTAGAAGAAGATACCAAGATTCCATCCTGGACTTTCACAGCTAGAGAGCAGAAGTCAAAATTGAAAGCCTGGGGCTAATGCAGCGATGACTTTTAAATTGAGTCCAGTGCTCATCACCATTCCAGAAATCTTCAGTTCAGACAGGTCAGTCGCTCAATCACGTCTGACTCTTTGCAACCACATGAATTGCAGCATGCCAGGCCTCCCTATCCATCACCAACTCCCAGAGTTTACCCAAACATGTCCATCTAGTCGGTGATGCCATCCAACCATCTCATCCTCTGTCATCCCCTTCTCCTCCTGCCTCAATCTTTCCCAGCATCAGGGTCTTTTCCAATAAGTCAGCTCTTCGCATGAGCTGGCCAAAGTATTGGAGTTTCAGCTTCAACATCAGTTCTTCCAGTGGACACCCAGGACTGATCTCCTTCAGGATGGACTGGTTGGGTCTCATTGCAGTCCAAGGGACTCTCAATGGTCGTCTCCAACACCACAGTTCAAAAGCATCAATTCTTCAGCACTCAGCTTTCTTTACAGTCCAACTCTCACATCTGTACATGACTACTGGAAAAATCATAGCCTTGACTAGGCAGACCTTTGTTGACAAAGTAATATCTCTGCTTTTTATTATGCTGTCTAGGTTGGTCATAACTTTCCTTCCAAGGAGTAAGCATCTTTTAATTTCACTGCTGCAATCACCATCTGCAGTGATTCTGGAGCCCAGAAAAATAAAGTCAGCCACTGTTCCCACTGTTTCCCCATCTATTTGCCATGAAGTGATGGGACCAGATGCCATGATCTTAGTTTTCTGAATGTTGAGCTTTAAGCCAACTTTTTCACTCTCCTCTTTCACTTTCATCAAGAGGCTTTTTAGTTCCTCTTCA